AATAAGGATTTCATTTTAAGAGGAACTTTATACTCTTGTGCATTATTTTGGGGGTTGTTAAGTAACCCATTGGGGTTGTTAAGTAAGCCATTTTATATACTGAACCAATTCAGTGTAGGTCTATTTATTTTAAAGTGTTGGCTAAGAATTTAAGTCCTGATTCTTTTGAGAATTGATTTTTCCCATTATTTTTTTTCTGATTGTTCTTCACAGAATAAGACCACAGCTTGCCAAAGAAAAGATTGAAGGATGTCATATTTGTACATCAGTCACACCAGGAGAGCCTCAGGTCTTCCTAGGGAAAGATAAGGCATTTACCTTTGATTATGTGTTTGACATCGATTCCCAGCAGGAACAGATCTACACTCAGTGCATTGAAAAACTAATAGAAGGCTGTTTTGAAGGATACAATGCTACAGTTTTTGCCTATGGACAAGTAAATACCTTATTATTTGCAAGGGAATTGTAATTCAGTTGCATTTACATTTTTATGTCTTATAGCCTTGTTAATATGAACAGTCATTTTTTCCCCTCTTGTTGTTTTGTTCAGACTGGAGCTGGGAAGACATACACAATGGGAACAGGCTTTGATGTCAACATCATGGAGGAAGAGCAGGGAATTATTTCTCGTGCTGTTAAACACCTTTTCAAGAGTATCGAAGAAAAAAAAAACACAGCGATTAAAAATGGGGTTCCTCCTCCTGAATTTAAAGTGAACGCCCAATTTTTAGAGGTAGCAGACTCATTGTCAATTTTCTTTAAATTTTGTCTGTAACAGCAAGATCCTTATAGTTTTATACTGTCGGCCTTTAGTAGACTGTTTTTCATATACTACCCAGCCAATGTTGTTTGAGTAAATTAAAATAAAAATACCTTACTCTTGGATGTAATAATATTGACATTTATATTATAAATGCTTTACAGTATCTGTAGATTAAAAGTACAATTAGTATTGTTAATTTCAGAACCCTTTCTTATCAAGTGCCATAGTGACCGTAAAACAAAAACAAAACAACAAAACCCTTATGGGTAATTTGGATGGGCTTATAAAGTTCTGGGAATTTAGAAATATTATCAAAAGGGAGAGGACAAGTTGAGAGACTGCTTCAGAGGCTGATGGTGTGTCTGAAGTGTTCAAAGGTTATCAGGTTAGGATGCCTTAAACGATAGCCTAGTCTTGTAGGGAGTTATGTCAGTAGAAAAAATGCAGGCTTTTGAGTAATACCCTAGTTAGGAGGACATTATATATACAGCATTATAATTCTGAATTGTGTTTTTACATACGCTAGGACAGACCATTTAAAACTAAAGATAGGGAGGATAGATGTTTCAGTGTGTAAGGATGGTTGCTGCCAAGCCTAATGACCCGACTTCTATCCTTGGAGGGAAGGAGCCAACTTTCCACATGTGTACCATGGCGTTCATGTTCCCACACATACACATAGATAGATACATATAGTAAACAGTAAAATAGAAGTAAACAACTAAGGATAGACTTAGCATCCTGCTTGCCAGCTGGAATCAACCAGCATACTTACAATTACCAAGTCATGGAATCAGGCTAGATGCCCATTGATAGTTACATGCATGAAGAAAATGTGATACACAGACATGCACACTCGTATGCACAGTGGAGTATTATTCAGCTATAAGAATGAAATGTAATTTTCAAGAAAACGAATGGAACTGGAAATCATCCCGTCAAGTGAAATGAGCCAGACTCACAAAGATAAATATGAGCATTTCTTTTATATTTGTTAAATAGATGGAAAGGAAGGGAGGACATTGAACTAGAAGTGAGGAAGAAGGGACGGTGCTAAAGAAGGCAAAAGCCGGGGAATATATGCCTGAAGTGCATTGTATACATATGAAATGTCACAATAAAACCTATTGTTTGTACAATAATGGAAAAGAAAGCAAAGTTAATGAAAAGACACTGAAAGGGAGAATTGTAAGGCAAAAGAAA